ATGATCAAGTCACGTGACAAGAGAATTCCAAGACGAGATCTTAACCGGGTTGAAGAGGAGACAGAGTGCATCTCGAAAGTGTGTTAAGGTATAAATATTTGTCAAAAAAAAAGGTGGAGAGGTTACCAGGAAAAATGCAGAAATCAAGCTACGATTCACGAAAGCTTCACAGTACCCCGGCTAATATGTAAAATTACAGTATGACGTGACTATTAGACTATTATATGTCTACAAATGTATATGAGCCTATATATCTAGAACACAAATTTGTATTGGCTCAAGACGGTGACCAGACTGTGTTGTCAAAAAAATCAATGGCGTTATGTAGGAGTAGGCTAAAGTGGGTTTTACATAGAGATGGCTTCAACTTCCATAACCGATACATTCTCAGCGCTTTCAATTTCATGCCAGAAATGTCGCAATGCGCCGGGAAATTGCAGTTGCCCAAAGCAAATCATTATTAGGCCACACCAATTTATTTTCTTGGTTAACGGATTTTTGTTGAAAAAAAATGGAGCGGGCGGGCGAAAAAAAAATAAAAATAAAAATTTGATACTACCTGCCATACAGCCATGTAGTGTGAAATCCAGACTGCTTTAGTTACGAAAATACTGGGAAAGAAACAAAAGACAAGAGAGGATGTACCGTATTGTGTTTTATTTGCTATCCACACCATTGGGTTGATAATCTTTTCGTACACGAGCAAAATGCAGAAAACAAGTTTTAGCATGTTACTTCCAAGTTCCACCATCATCATATGTACTCTAAAACATGACACGAATGTTAACTCTCACAAGCAATTTTAACTTTAAAGGGGACAAAATTTATTCAATTTTACATGTACTGTACCTAGATTCTGCCTTGATCCAAAGTTCCAGCTTTCTCAAACAATTTAAGCTTCCGCCACAAATTTTGTCCGCCATGAGGCTCCCGCCAGGCAGGAGAACAAAACAAATGACTGAGCCAACATGGTTCCAGAACATCGCATCTGATTGGTCAGAAAGTAAAACAATCCACGATTGGCTACTTTACGTCATGTGACTACGTGTGCAGGAGCGCCTCTAGCGACATTGGTATGAACTGCAGCAATTTCATTGGAGTCTCCCTGTTACCGGCCTGTGGGGTCTAAACTATGACGTTTTTTATTTTTATTTTCATTCGGCAAAAAAAGCAAGCGGCGAATCCGTTAACCAAGGAAATAAATTGGTGTGGCCTTATGTTTACCAAAGGAAAACATATTGTTTTTGCTCTATTTCTTCTTCTTCTGTTCCAAGCACTAACCTCTGACCTGGCCAATGGCCTCTTTTGTTGACGTCTGTCACCATAGTAACTGGTGTTGGGTTACATAATGTTGCAATTTCATAGTAGGCATTTAGACTTGTATGTGAATGTGTTTGAGTAAGAATTAACAGAGCAAACCATATCTGAAGGTAAACATTATGCATTTGCTTTGCATAATGTTTACCTTCAGTTTCTAGTTTTTGTATTTCTAGTTTTTCTAGTTTCTGTATATGTTTTATTGTCGAAAGACACAGTCTGCACCAATTTGATATTTCATCGATTTTTTTTCTCTCGAATGATGAGAAAGGAAGAAAATGTTCAGCATCATTTATGAAACAGGGCGTTAAAAAAAGAACGAACTGGCTACTCTTACCTCATTTTCACTTATTTATGTCCCTTTCTTGTGCACTTTAGTATAAATTTTGAAGCATTGAAGCTTCTTATCCACTTTGGGGTTCTGCTACATTCAATTAAGGTATTTGGGTTAATTTGAATCCCTCAGTAACACATTCCACAGTTCTTTTGTGGCATCGCTGGGGCAGACCCGCTCTTGAGGTTAGGAGAACAACTCTGAACCGCCCCCCTCACACTCACACTCTGTGCCCAATTTGCCGAAAACAACTGAAGGACCCTCAGTGACAAAGCCCCACAAGTTTCCTACTATTTGTGAGGAGCACAGCTGTGAGATCGTGGTACAAGCAGGAACAGGTAGTTGTGATTGGCCCATAGCTTGAAAAGAGAATTCTCCAAAGATTTTAGTTGTATCTATTTAGATTTAGTATACAGATCTGGTATTTCATAACAGTTGCCTCATAGTAAAAATTCCTTTTTCCAAGATTTTTTGTTAGATCTTTTTTTCTTGCTTTTTTTTTAATTCAAAAGCATGTATCATACCACTTGTTCCCACCTTCAGGGATCATTAAGAGAAAAGTGTTTTGATTTTTATGTCTCTTTTGAAATTCCCATGCACATAGATCTGATTTGCTTGGAAATTTTAAGGCTGTAGCCATCTTGACACTTTACTTGAAAGTCAGCAGAAATCTTTCAGAACAGAAGAATTTGTTATTTTATTACCATTGGTGATAGTATTGTTGACAAAGGCTTAAAACATAACGTACACAGGTGGTCTAGCTACCACCTTGTAGCAGCAGTGGGACGTCTTAAATTGGAAAATGACTAAAGTGAAAAAAAATCCACTGAAGCGGAGGAGAGACTTCGCGGCATTAACATGAGCTCTTCTGCACATACCCGTAGAAAACCTCGGGGAGCCCCAGACCATGAATATGTAAGACTACTGCCTAGCAAAGAGGCTTCTCGTGCAGTAGAGCGTGGCAGTATCCACAGTCAGGGGCTGGGAGTGAGTGAGTATGCATGCGAGAAGAACTGATTTAGACACGACAAGGAAAGACAGGCTCTAGTTGTTTTCAGTCGGAAGTAAAAAATGACGCGTTACGAGTTGCAAACTGGGGAGACAGAAGGTGAGAATTTTTCTCTCGTACTCCTCTCACTTCTCGAAGTAGTTTCAAGAAACTTGGAAGAGTGAATTGCCTCCTTTGTTGGCATACTTGTTCTTGTTCTGTGTTTTTGTCTTTCAAGGAATTCTCAAGGTCAACATTGGTATGTTGAGGTTACTTATCCTGAGAGGGTCACAGAAGGCACCTGTTGTTTTAGCTTAAATTTTTGAGACATTTTCCAATTTTTGTCCAATTGTAAGGACTCCTGTCACAAAGTGAGAGTAAAATGTTTTTCTGGTCCTTCCTAAAAAGTTGTGTGTCGTGTTGTTTTTATTTAAACTTATATGCTATTTCCTCAAATTCCTGATGAATATCTTCTACGTAGTTGGGAAAGAATTTTTCAGAGCTCATCAAATGGGATTGATGTTCTTTAAGGTACTTCAAAACTTTAATCCAGAAGAAGGCTTTGTAACTGACAGTTAATGTGTTGTTAGAGCTAGCATTTTGCTGTCAGGGCGTGTAGAATATAAAGGCAGAGTCTTGTAGTGTTTCCCAAAATAAACAGAAGAATTCAAACATGGTGACAACATAGCTAGCTGCCCTGCCCAGGTTCTTAGAGGATGAGTCCATTTTGAAGACAAAAGGGGTGTGAGCATCACAAATTTTGTCTTTTTCTTGATCAAGAGATTGTCATTCATGCTATTAACTCGATAGATTCAAAAGAGTAGAATCTAAGAACAGTACTGTAATAGAATTTAAGTATTTCAGATAAATATTCTATCCTATTTTTCAACAATAGACCACCTGACTGTATAGCGGCAAGTGTTTTTTTATAACTTAAAGATTTGAGACGAATTGTAAGAAAGCATATACCTCATAATTACATCAATAAACTGATTATTTGATCCTTATTAAATTTTTTACGTAAGAAACGATACATGTTGTTGACCTAGATGTTTCCAGTGGTGCAGCCCCGTGCCTTAAGGTGTTGGGCGGTGTTGTTTTCCTAGAGCTGTTTTCTTCTTTGCAAGGCATGACATGCAACTGGTGTCAGGAGACCTGTACTGAATGGGCTACTGGGTTACAAGATCAGGACGTGTTGTTAGCTTTTAAGGTGTTGTTTCTGTTTCTTGTCTCAAACTCAAACCCAGACAAGGAAGACCAGGGCTCAAAATACTGGGTGCATGTGCACCTTAGTACTAAATTTGGAGCTCAGGTGCACCCAGTTTTTTTCTGTGGGTGCACTCAAATATTTTGGTAGGCTTACGTATGTAAAAATGTCAAATGGTATACAGCATATCCTTAACATCTGTGTGTCAGAAAAAAAGTTTTTGATGACCTTCTATACTAAGTTTTTTGTGTACCTAATTTTTAGGTTGGGTGCACCAGTGCACCTATTCCCAAAAATGAATTTCGAGCCCTGAAGACCACTTGAAGGTCTCAGCAGCCTTGTCGACGACTGTAAACTGTATCATTCTATAGAACAGAATTCTTACCAAGTTTCTTATTTTTCCTCTCCAGGGTGCTGTGACGCATGCATCATGTGTTTAGGGCCAATCCCCTACGTCTCGCTCATCCCCACTATCATACAATACAGTTACAGAAGATCTCAAAACACCTCCTGGAAGTCTAAAATCTCTGAAAACTTACCGATTTCCTTGTTTTTCTGTCTCCAGGGTGCTGTGACACGTGCATCAGGTGTTTTTATGCGGATCCCGTATGCCTTTCTCATTGCCATGGTCATACAATACATCTCAAAACACCCCCAGAAGTCTGAAATTAGTTTTTTTTTTTTTTATTTATTTATGACGATTTACCACATTTGTGGAAGGATTGACATAACAGGTGACTATCACCTCTTCAAAGATGTCAACCCCGAGACCAGACTGTAAGGTCTGAACCACTCACACCGGGAAGGTCCCCTACTCTTTTCGATAAGTGCGGTGGGTTCTTTAACGTGCGTGGGGTGTGGCTCTCCCAAACACGGGACCTCCATTTAACGTCCTATCCGAGGGACGTCCCTAGCCGAAGCTAGGTACTCATTTACACCTGAGTGAAGTGAGGAAAGTCGTGTTGTTGATTTCTTACCGATTTCCCCATTTTTCCTCTCCAGGGTGCTGTGACGCGTGCATCAGGTGTTTAGGGCGGATTCCGTACGCCTCACTCATCGCCACAATCATACAAAACATCTGAAAACACCTCCTGGAAGTCTGAAATCTAAGATTTGTTGTTGTTTCTTACCGATTCCCTATTTTCTCCCTCCAGGGTGCTGTGACGCGTGCATCAGGTGTTTAGGGCGGATTCCCTACGCCTCCCTCATCGCCACGATTCTTCTGGCGGCCGGAATCGCCGTGTTCTGCGGATCCTTCTACACCGCCGTCATCCAGACACGGACGCTCTTCAGCTTCGGTGATGCTAGAGCCGTTACAGACAATTTCAACAACCTGTGAGTAGTTTTTTGTTTCCAGGCTCTATGTTCTAATTCTTGTATAAATACAGTTTTCCATGTTATGTTACAGATGATTTATAAGTACAGTTCTCCATGTTACAATATGTAGAAAGACTCTTTTCAGTTTCGATTTTAGATCCGTTACAGATGAATTTGTTTCCGTGTTGGTAGTTGTAAAAAAAAAGTGGGTTAACTTATGGCAGGAATATTTGCGGACTTCAACAATCAATTGTGCTACCAAACATATAAACAGATGGTAGCTCTCCTTGGTGCTGAAAGTCATTCTATCTATGATATTTCAAGCCAGCAATGTATGATTTCCTTATGATAGCAAATGCTGTCAGAACAACAACACATTAACTCACTGTTGTTTTCCTTTTCGCCCCCTAGTGTTGAAGCCCTGAAATGGAGTGCCGTGGGCATCACTGCGTTTATGGGCGTGTACGCCTTTATCCTGCTCCTGATCGGTTTCCTGGCAACCGGCGCCAGCAAAGAGAAGAAGTACTGCGGCTTCGGCACCGGCCTGGGCAGCAGGATAACTGTCGCATTCGTAAGGCTTCATTCTCTTTTTCTTACACTAGTGTCGTTGTTGTAGTTGTAAGCAACCTTACATGTAAATTTTGATTTATGGATTAGTGTGGCTCTCAGTTCATTCAGTGACGGATGTCACATGAACTGTCTGAAAGTTACCCCCGTTATTTATCCAGTAGCAGACTTTGATAATTGTCTTTGAATAATTGTTTCATAATTTTTCGTTAGAAAATCCTTTTCTCTTAAAATTTGGGAGGTTAGAGAACATGGAGTTCTATTGTTCTTGGAGCTAGAGAGATATCCTTCATTCCCATATGAAGTGCTTTTGCTTCAGAATTATTTCCTGAACGAGACGGTCGCTTAAGTTGAGGGTGTGCAGAATCAAATTGAGACCCAAAATAAACTGGGGTGTGCCCCTCTTAACTGGTAAATAGCTGGTATTGCCTTTGATCTTTGACCTTCAACCATTCCCGCAGTTTGACCTTTGCTCCTTGACCTTTCCCACAGTTCCTTGTGCTGACGTACATCATCTTCATCGGCTGGCTGCTGATGTCCTGCATGGGGGTCATCCCCTCCCTCTTCTTTTACCTCACCGTCATCGTGAAAGCCAAACCCTACACCGTCAATGGCAACAACTGCCTCAATCTGCAGCAGTTTGGTAAGTCTCTTCCACATCTTGGAAGTATTGGTTTGAGGGGCCGAAAGTTTGTGTGTTTTGTGCCATCCCATCGCTGTTCTTTTACCTCACCGTCATCGTGAAAGCCAAACCCTACACCGTCAACGGCAACAACTGCCTCAATCTGCAGCAGTTCGGTAAGTCCAGATCCCTTCTGCATCATTACTTCCGTATCCAGAAGTAACAATGAGCTGGAAGTATTGTTTTGGGTGGCTGTGTTGTTTGTGTGTTTTGTGTCATTGTGAAAGCCAAACCCTACACCGTCAATGGCAACAACTGCCTCAATCTGCAGCAGTTCGGTAAGTCTCTTCCACATCTTGGAAGTATTGGTTTGGGTGGCTGAGAGTATATGTGTTTTGTGTCAACCTGCAGCATCATTAGTTTAGAGTATTGTTTTGCAGGGTGTACAGAAAATGCAACATGGAAATGTGAAGTAGATTGCAAATAGTGAAAAGTAAGGAAAGGGAACTGAGTAGAAACCTTTCGAGTACTAACCATGTGAGAGACAACAGCCAGGACCCTAAACTCATGACTGCTTAGTACAAAAGCAGGGTCACTAACCACTGGAAGCTTCATTCTCTTAGATTTAAGTGCAGTATTGATTTGTAACGCCCTATACTTCTTCTTCTAGGCTTGGATGTGGTTTTCAACACCACCGGCACACCAACCGTACCGGCTAATACCAATCTTGGTACCAACATGTGGGAGTATTGCGGCAATGACTACAACAAATTCCAGGCCGACGTAAGTCCAGCTAAGATTCTGTTTCAGAAAAAACAGGAGTTCTGCATTGCCATACGTTGTACTAGTTACAATTGTTCCTCAATAAAGATGGTTAAAGATATCAAGTAATGATGTCTCTTTTGTACTGGTGGCAGAAAGTCTACGATAGCAGCCTGACTCTGCGATAGTCCTACCAAAAATCTCCAAGCAGATCTTTGGCATAAAAAAAGATACCAGTACTAAAAACACTTAAAAACATTTAAAAAATAGCTTGAGCCTAAACCTCTGCTTAGAGAGTACCAAAAAAAAAAACAACACTTCAACGCAATGTCGATAAAAATATTGAAATTGAAAAATTGAAAATTGTTATTTCCAGGGATTCCAGCTGTTCAACTTGTACATCGTGGCCTTGGTTGGCGCCCTGGTCGTCACCATCAGCCTGGTACGTTCTCTCACATGTTTCCCCTCTCTCTCTCTTCTACGCTCTTAACACTGCTCCAACAATGGCTCACAGTTACTCTGCTGTGCTGTGTTAAGCCTGGTCATTTTTGAGCTTGAAATAAAAAGGTTTGAAAATGGCCAGTGTTGGATTAATTTGAAGCACGTCGGCAAAATGTACTGTGCCTGTACAAAACCTGTAACAGTAGAATGTTTTGGTCGCATTTGTATACTAAGGATGACAGCTACAGACGGGATGTGTCGCAAAAGATGTGGTCTACAATGTCTACAAGGTTCTCATGCAATATTGACCAAACATCCAATGAAAATCATCAAAAATGTAAAATTTGGGTTTCCAAATGAAAACTTTAAAAAATAGAATATTTGGGTTTATACACAGGCGCAGCACATTCTGTGAACATGCTGGATTATACTGTACAGTTACTGTATATCAAACTGTTCTTGTTCTCATTGTTGAAATGTGCAGGGCCTCACCAACTACTGTACAACTCTATCTGTCGCTTGGAGCTAGTTCTTCCTCAGTCTCTGCAGTGTAAAACTAATTAACATGATGATCAACTCAGTTCACAAACTGTGTTGAGCTTGGTCTGTGTATTCCAACTTTTCATGATGCAAAAGAAATCCGAAATTTAAAGAAAAAAAAATCAGACTAAGTACTTTCGGTCAATGTCCAAAGAGAGTCCAAAAAGTTTACCAACAATGGATATCATTCGTATTACTCAAAAATACTTTAAAAAAGGATCTAGAACTTTCTACGTTGTCTAAAACTTTATACGTTGTCTACAACTTTATACGTTGTCTAAAACTTTATACGTTGTCTACAACTTTATACGTTGTCTAAAACTTTATACGTTGCCAACCAAAAGGAATACTGCCAGTTTGTCAGTCTGACCTTTACACTGTCTATTTCAGTGTATTTAAGCACTATAGGGAGTATAGTAGACATTAGGGATGGATTACAACATTCTAGGTTTCTGGTGTTTTCAGACATCTAACACTGAGACACTTTCTTGGAAAGGTAGTGCAATTTGGTAGCAGAAACACTCAGCCATGTGCTACAGTACACATGCAAATTGTATGGCTCTAGAAAAATGCTACCCTGGTTCGAAAACCTAGTGTACCAAAGGACTTACAACTGTTACAGCATCAATGACACGATACCGTTGAGTCAAAAATTCAACCTGGTTGGAAAAACAGGCCCCAAAGCCATACTATGTGTTCTCCTATGTTGCATTGTTATTGTCACTTTTTTTACCCATTTCTCTCCTATATCCTCTTAAGTTGTGAAACTTCATTTCATTCTCCATGTTTAATGCTTGTATGTACCTAGATTTGAAAAAGTTTTGAAGCAAAAAGTCTAAGTACCTGTGGTTTAATGTACAAGTAAACAGCTTCAAATTCGACTCTGTTAAAGATTTTTGGAGCTGATTTCTTGTGTATCAGACCACAGTTGCTGTATGCTCAATTAGTTCTGTACAATGTGTAAAATAAGCATCACAAATAGACTTTTGTTTTCAAAGATATTTATAATGATAACAAAGCTATGAAAAAAAATGTATGCATAATGTGATCATCCCACAGTTTGGCCACAGCAAGTATGCCATCACACATTTCTTAAATCATTATATTTTAAGCAATTTGCCACAAGTAGTCCTACTTTACCTTGTGTTAATTAAAACTTTGGTTACGTTTGTGTCAATTTTCTTTCTCCATGTGCTCATCCATCCACCCACCATCTCCATCCAGATATAGCATCAACAGCTACCCCCCTCCAGGGCTTGAAATTCACTTTTGGGAATAGGTGCACTGGTGCACCCAACGTAAAAATTGGGTGCACAGAAATGTGTTGGGTGCACGGGTGCACAAAAAATATGTTGGCTGCACCATATAAGATAGAATAAGTAGAACGTCAGCAAAAGCTAATTATGTTTCATTTCAATTGTAAAGAAAAGTACTGCAACAGTGATTTTAGTATTTCTCTGACACATGAAAGTACAAAAATATTTGGGTGCACCCACGTCATGCAGGAAAAAAATGGGTTTTTGTGCACAGCTCCAAATTTGGGTCCTAATTTGGATCCATTAAAGGTGCACTTGCACCCAGTATTTCGAGCCCTGCCCTCCCTTCCTTCCTTCCTTCCCTCTCTCCAGATTACTGTACGTCTCCTTTGCACTTTTGTGTTTTCCTGTATGTGGCTAGTTAGTGGCAGCCTTTTCCTTGTGTCCCATGCCAGGTGCACTACTTGACCTGCTTGTCAGTGAATTACGCGCACCTGAAGAACATGGCAAGGAGCTACAAGTATAAAGACACCAACAACTACCACGAGGAGCAAGAACTGCACTCCTACTGATGACCGTTCGATGTACTGAGTTTTTCCTTACCTACCTTGTGTTGTTGACATGCAAGTAGACAATCATACAGGGTGTAGCAATCTCTCGCTGTTGGGGTCTGATTTGGCCTCCTCTCCGAGACTGTGTTACTCTCTTGCTGTTAGGGGCTGGTTGAGTCTCCTCTCCGAGAGCTTGCAATTGTGGCCATGCACCTCTAAATCTGGAGAACAAGATTCCCTTTCCCAAAACTACCAGTTGCCATCACCATGCCCCGACGCTGCATGTGCCCTTGGGAAAGGCACTTCCCTCCCTGTGACATCCACCAAGCCTTTTTGGCTAATCTGTCAAAATATGTGCCAAAAAACACACTACAGATTTTATGAGAGCTCAAGATTCTCTGTCAATATGGAAAATGGAAACAATGCTATAACAACAGACAGTTCTTGAGCAGTTCATGAGCAGTTCTAAAATACTTGGTCCATGTCAGCACATATTATGCAGAAATCAACAGAATCAAGATGCTCCCAGTTCTCCTGACTTAAGAGATATTGGCCATCAAGCCTCTAGGGTCCTAACCAGTGGAAGGGCTGCTAAAAGTAATCAGGCCAGTAGTATGACATGGAGAAGAAATTCTGTGCCTGTCCTTGGTGCTGAACGTGTTATCAGACTTAGAGGTGTTGGCCATTGAGCTTCTAGGGGCCTGACCAGTGCAAATGGCAGCTTTGAATTTATGAAAGGCAAAAAAGCTTACATTAAATGCCATCATATAGGTCAGTATATATTGGTGTTATTTGGCTTGGCTGCCCTGTATGCCAAGTATGGACTTGCCCATGCAATAACACGGAAGCTACTAGTGTTATTTACAAAAATGTCTGTTTCGTGTGTCGTGCTTGTGTTCTGATGATGTAATAACCCACATGTTCTGATGACACGTGCCATGTTTGTGTGTTTCCCCTCTCTCTTGTGCAGGTGCACTATCTGATGTGCTTGTCGGCGAACTACGCTCACCTCAAGGATTCTGGGAAAATTTACAAGTACGAGGAGACCAAATACCGGGAAGAACAGGAGTTGCACAACATCGTGACCAACTCCAAGGAAAAGCTCAACTACTGATGATGTCACTGATGATGTTCCTCACACACACTGATGATGTCATCATCTGTTGCTGGGCTCATCATCTGTTGTTCTAAATGATGTAATATTTGAATGTCATGCCCAAATAAGGTAATCGGTAGTGTCTAGTAGGAGTTTAAGTGTTGTAGTATACAGTTCCAGTATTAAATCTGTGTGAATGCCCACAGTGGATATAAAGTCAGTCAAAAGTAACGGACAGAATAGATGTTTTAACAATTGGGGGCTTCGATGCTGTCATGGACTCTTCACCTTTAAGTTTGTATAATTATTGTGATGCCTGGAAGACTACACAACTACAAGTACTGTCAGTTCTTCGTGAGAAACAATGGTAGAATAACTGTTGAAAGACAATTTGTAATAGAAAATTTTGGTGGTTAAGGGATGGAGAAAAGACACCATGGTTTAGTCCTGGCATTATAAAACTGGTTTTAGGTGGACCATAGTATCTCTACCACATACAGTATTCTTTGTAACACTACCGGTAGTATGTAGAAAAATAGTATCATTGTTACTGTCATGAGCAAGCTCTTATCCCAAGATGAAAATGAATTCGAATATTACACATTTTGTATCAGTAAAATTTTATCTTGTTTTAAGAAGAAAGTAGTGCCACATTTTTGGTTTTGTGATCACAAATGAAGGTGTTGTTTTGTATTGTAGTATCGATAGTTGACTGGAATGTGGGTGTATGTTGTGGCATCGCATACCCAAACCTGTGCTAGGAACAATATGGGATCCGTACGTAATTGTACGAAACACGAAAACAAGAATTTCACAACTCGATGTAAAGATATGAATTGTTGATATCCGTACGAAATATTGAGAACTCGATATTATGTATTCAGATGATGTAACACTGTCTGGATTGATGTTTTACAATATCAGCATGCTAAAGACTGAAGTGGGCCAACTAAAACGTGTGACACTGTTCTCGTAGATAGTCAAGAACTTAGTAAAAGCTTAACTGTGGCTTTATAATGAAACCTTCGAGAAAAATTTTTGAAAATCTTTGTGAGAGTGACTTTGTATCTAATGTACTCATATACAAGTACAGTACATGTAATAGCATCAGATGTTCAATAGCTAGGGATGACAAAAATATAAATGTTTTTGTAGAGAAAATTGAACTGTAGACTTGTCTTAGTGTGCTAAGTTTATTATGTATTATTTTGTTGTAAAGTTACTTTGTAAGAAGGATATATAAGTAGCTATATGTACAACTTAAAGTAAATTTACTTACAATAGTTATTATATATAATATTAAAGTGTATTTAACCCGTTGCTGGCATATTTGTCAAAAGAACTTAAATCTCTGTATTCGTGTATCTTACGAGTTTTGAACCTTACAAGCTTCTGCTTTGTATATCTAACAGTTAGTGCAGCTGTCAATGAAAACCTTGAGGGGTTTACACAGATCACTGTCAACCCCAGTGGGGGCTATGCGATGGGCCCTTGTCTAGCTAAACCCCTCAACAGCGTTTACATTGACTGGTGTATGTTATTGCTTCTACAGCTTTTGTACTGTAGCTATAGTTAAGTTCGGACCAAAGGCTGCGCGTGAAAAATGGACATATTTTGTAAGATGTTTGTTGTACAGATGAACAAGCAGCGATCGCTGCCGACTTTTGTCCCTAATAACCCGCCCGTGCACCCCTCCTTTCAAGTTCACTGGTCCATAAACACATCAGTCACTAGTTTAAGTGGCACTTCAGTGGTGACACCCAGTGTTAAGCAACTGCAAAATGTTGAAAATGTCTGTATACTTGCATTTTTGAGAGGCAAACTAGTACTGGACTTGTTTTAAGTTAAAACTTTTGATCCAGCACAAAGAAGTTTCCTCACCTAGAGCTTTTGACCAGTCACTCTGGTCTTCCTCAGTAGACTGACCCAGTGAGACTTGTCACTTGGCTTCTTTGAAGTGTGATGTCAACACTTGACAAAGGTACTGGACTTTACTAGTGCACACTAGTAAACACAAAATAAATCAAAAATCTTTTTTCAATAGCTTAAATCCGGCTGATCTTTCATGCTGTACAATCTTCTGGAACAAAAGACAAAATTTCCATGAAGATACTCCTACATCTATATATGATGTTGTTGCTCATATTCCACATACAACACAAAAGCGCCACCTGTTGGCACCAGTGAATATTGCAGGAGGGGCTGTGGCTGTCTCTCGTGCCGTGTGTTTGTGTGAACCAGTGCCGTGTACAACTCCAAGCAGATGTTGTGAGTGTCGTGCATCTGTTTAATACAGTAACCGCGCTGGTCAGATCCTGTGTCTTGTACGTACCGTTGAATTCGGATTGTAAGGGTATGGATCGACTTGTAATGTGCTGTAGCTAGTCAAGCTAAACCGTGTTAACAAAATGAAATGGAGGAGACACATCATGTATCCTTTTCAGAAGAAATTTACAATTGCTTCTTTTCTTCAAAAAGCAGAAATTCAGCAAATTCAAAGGCAGAGCTTAACCTAGAGTTTTATTTTGGCATATTTGAATAACAAATTCATTATTAGAGATGACATATATTTTGGCATATATTATCTAGAAACTTTAATTTTGATCTGACTTGTAACGTTAAAGACCAAAATGGAACTGCATTGTGTGGTACAGTTTCAACATATTACCACATAAGTAAGAGAAAAGTCTTCCCTGGAACATATTGTTCACTGACCCTTCCCCAGTGGGTTACTCTAAGTTTTTAGTGAACATTTTATTTTCAAGAAAATGTTGTAAAGAAAGTTCAATCACACTTTGCAATTTTTAACTATTATACTAAGATACGTTGAAATAGTTCCTATAGCTAATGTCATACTGAATCATGACATGCTTAGCTTGTTTTATTTGTCAACCATGTTTTGAAATTGATATTATATAGGCTTCCATTAATTTTAATTGAAAGCTTCCCATGACTTGGTCGGTTAGTGTTGTATAGTTTGCACAGTGTCTCCTCTATTACATCCGGTAATAGACCGATCCAAAGCCCCGTCCAACACTTAAAACTTAGGAATAGAAACCCAAAATGAAATGCAAATATTTGTAGAAACCCAAAATGAAATACAAATATTTGACAGACACCAAAATAAAATACAAATATTTGACAGACACGTAGCTACTCTCCCATTGGTTGAACCGTTAATTGCCATCATCTCATTGGTCGAACCGCAAATTGACATTCTCTCATTGGTTGATCGGCTATTTCAATTTTGAAGGGCAGTCAGGATCGGTCTGTACCTGTGGGAGATGGGAGTATCGTACCCAAAATGGCGTACTGATGAAGTGTGGTGAACTGCGTACTTGTAGTGGAATGATTTCTCGTGCAAGAGGAGGTTTGTACCGAGGTTGAGACCAGTTGTACATTTTGTGATTGTGAGTGAAGAATACAACATTGTGCTGGTTATACCTTTCTGTCTGTGGTGTGCGTTTTTGTGTCTTTTGGTCTATATACTAGAGGGGATTCATTCCTCAAGCTAACCATTCTCTCACACATGCAGTCATCCCTCAGTTAGTTCTAAACGGGAACTATGCAGCTCCAGATGTCATACAACCACTGTGTCGTGTGACAGGCCAAGTATGTCAACATTACACCACCTCCTTAATTCCTCCACACACTGCCCACATACTCCCACCCAAAGAACAAATGTACAGTCAGTGACTTTTGTAAGGCGCAGCATTCAATACACTCCACACTGACAGTTCCAACCACACTCAGTGATTCACAAAACCAAGTATACCTGTACAACGTCTTTAACAAAACAATCTTGATCTTGATGGTCACCTGGCCATAGTGATCACTTTTAGTCGGTCTCTTGGATTTTTCCTATTCACCCATAGCATTAATAAGAACCGAAGCAAGTTAAGCAACCGTGTTGACAGCTACTCCTCTGTCTTAGCGAGTCTACAGATAACCAGCCAAACTCATACTTGGTCTTCCCTTTCTTGATGTGAGCTGGCATGTCCACAGAGAACAACGAGAAACCCAAGTCTACCTGTCATAGGCTGCAGCGGAAACAAAAGTACTCAGGTTCTTGTTTGACGGATCGATGTTTTGGTTTCGAAGTTTTCCCGCGAAGTGCGGTCAAAAGTCAAACACGCGCATGTGAAACTTTTTGCAAAGATACACGATGAAAAACAGCAACTGTTACTAAACCCGAATCAGCTTGAATGACATGAGAAATAAATTTCATTTTTGTCCAGAAGAAGTCCGTTAATGCGACAAAAATTATAAATTCCGAGCTAAACCCAACTTTCTTTACGTCATTTCCGGTAGTTGCGTATCCGGTACTTCCTTATAAGGAAGTTCACATTACATGTCAAAGGTGAAGATCCTGAGAGGTAAACAGAACGCGTCATGTCAGATATTTTATATGTCTTTATTTTGCTTTTCTACGTTTAAACTGAGATGGGCGGGACTGTCTTTACCCTCAGGTAACCTCCGCTCGACCTTAAGCCTGGACATGTGCACGCACTAATCTAAAGACTAAAGCTGGAAATGGGCACGCTATCGACAACTTTACAGAAAGTTTTTATATGCTCAGCTGTATAACGTTAAACGTTCATATGGCGTTCAACGCAAGGCCAGCCAAGGAATATTGCAGAGGTTTCTTGGAAGTACAGGCTGTACTGGTAGCATGGAAGGAGAATCCGGAAAGATTATTGAAGGTATTTAAAGCTTCCTTAAACTTAAAGCGCAAGTTGAAACACCAACTGCAACGTGCACGTGGCCGTTTTGTGGTGATTCTTTGGGTTGGTGGAAAAAGCAGTCCGGTCCAGACTGGTTAGGGGGGTCCGGCCCAGTAACCTTTGTATCAATCACTCACTTCCTCTCAGCCTGTGGGAAGACCATTTTGATCCCCAACCTGCAACCTTCTTGTCAGCCTGTGGTTGTACCATTTCCCCCTCACTTCCTACCATTAACTCTACCAGCCATATTCAAACATCACAACAACCAGCAAACATACCAGTGTAGCAATGTGTTTTAGAAGACTGTCTCCTGTTGCAGAAAGTTATCATAACCAACACACTGGTGTGGGGTAAGATACTGAGCCTTGCAGAGGTTCAGTGGGACGATCAGTGACATTGCCAGAACTTCTGAAACAGAAGTGGTACTGTGCTATGCTAACTAGTGGAGATTCATTCGTAATTTTCTGTCTTTCAGGGACAAGGAAGTCACAGTATGATGAGTTTGCTGAGAACACTCCCCACAAAAACTGCAAACATCAAACCACCAGAAATATTTAATGATTCACAGTACTTAGTTTCACTTTCGTCTTGAGACCATCTCAGTGCACAATTATTCCAATTAACACCCAGAGTCAAATCATCATATGACAGTGGGAAGAGGGGGGTTTTCAGTACCTGTCAAACTTTAGTAGACTGTAGATCTGTACTTTCCTGGCAGATAGAGATAGAGATTGTACCTGCCCTTGGTGCTGAACAACAGTCACACTGACACAGTAATTGGTCAGGTTCAATGATTTTGCATTGACAATTGATTGAAGTTAAGATTCTATCTTCAGGGCCATTGCCGGAACAATTGTCAAACATTGAAGTAGACTTAGTAGAGTCAATTCCGCGTCACCGAGTGGGTTTTTTCTCCATGTTTCTAATACGTTTGAATTATTTAGAAGAAAAGAATACCCCAGTAACAAAAGTTCTAAATTTTTCAAAAATTTGACAATGAAAATTTGAATATATTTGAATTCATTTATATATTTCTGAAACATTTTGAATGTGACTGTACAAAGATCTCTTTCTTTAGAATAAATTTGAACTACCCATGTGTTTCTTTCACAATTCGAAATATTTAGAACTATTTCAAACAAATAACCAAATGGTAGATGTGGGTAATTGCCCCCATAAAAGTAGGTGCTAATCCTACTCTTCTGTCTTCCTCTGTATATTTTTAGATTTCACTGCTGGACACTGGTGGCTCTTTTGTTGTAAGGCATCAATGCCTGACACCCAGGCAGTCTGCCCTGTACTTCACAGGGATGTGTGAATTACTTCCTTCCCATCCCACTGACCTATTTACAAAATGTTAGAAATAATTCGAAATAATGGTAAAAAATGGTAGAGTGCTGTTAGAAATATTTAGAAACTATTG